TGGCGGAATGATGCCAAAGGATGAATTGTTGTGTTCGTCCCATTGGTGAAGGTGTCAGTGTCAAGATGGTCGCGTACAGCAGTCGGTTCATGAAATTATGAGCTTTGATGGCGTTGGAATCATGATTACCTTCTAAACTTCACATATAATTAAGACTTTTTTTCTAGAATAATTGACGCAACAAAATAGCTACTTAGAATCATATCAGAATTATATAATAAAAAAATTAAAAATTTAACTAATAAGTTTGAATAAAAAATATATACGAATAAATTTGACTGTACCAATAAATAAATCATTAAAAGAATGAAATTATTGAAAGATCGCAAATAAATCACAACTCAAAGATGAGGACGTGAAAAAATATCTATGAACATAAATTGAGTATCTAAATTTAATTTGATAGTCCAAAGCAGTAAAGATCAGTTGAAGTTATGTCAAATCAAATCTTGAAAAACCAAAAGAAAATAGTGATTAAACGGTCGATAAAGAAGATCGAAAATAAATTAAAGACAAAATTATTAAAAATTTAAAAAGAAAAAATATGTGATATAAAAAAATAACAGGAAAAAAAAAATTAATGATCGACGATCAATACAAAAGTTAGTGTCTTCGTTTATCCAACGAAAATTAAAATAGAAGAGTGTTTCATTATTTTCAAATTTGAAATTTACTCATTTGGTATAATTTAATTTTTATGTTATTACTCAGCCTAAATAATTAATATTAATTAATTATATTAGCATGATATGCTGTTTCTTTTTAGGTAATGTTAGCATAATAAGTGAGATGGGTTGGTTTATTCTTGCGTGAAAGTCACTTGTTGTCCACGTAATTTTTTCTTTTTTCTTTTTTATTTTCATTTCATTATCTTTCTTATAAAAAAATCTTTAATAGTTTCATCCTTATGTGGTCATCATTGAAACTGTTATTCTTTGACATATTCTTCAACCATTATAAATATCGATATATTAGTCTCATCGTCAATGATCATTTTATCCGTTTAGATTTTCTCAAAATCTATTTAAAATTTGTGAAACTCAACCCAACACCTAAAAAAAATTCTTGTAAACAATCTTCGCCATTTGATCAACATAAAATCAAGATATATTGTTCAATTCCTCCTTCTCTATCTCTTCATAGTTGAGATTTGAAAGAAGATTCTTCAACAACGAAAAATAGAAGGAAATCCATAAAATTGGATTAAAACATTGGGAAGGAAAATTTTAAAGTATGTTCGCAAAACATAAAGAAAGTTTAAGGAGCTTTTCATAAATTTTTAAAAATAAAATGTCGTGTCATAATTTATTAAATAAAAAACTAAAATTGAGTGATAAAAAGTATAGTTTACCGAAGTCTTATTTTATTTCATTTCTTTTCATTTTTTTATACATAGTGATTATTAAGTAGTATATATTTAAAAGATTTTTAATCATTTCACGATAAATACTCGAACACTTCTACAAATATAATACTCGACCTCTAAGAATAACAATAATATTTTAACTATTAATATCGTTCGGTCATTACCCTTTCTTCTCATCTCAAGATTACTCTAATCCAAACATAAAACATTCTAGAATTTAAACGTAGCTAAAGGTAATCTCGCAAAAAAAAAAACATTTCAGCTTCCACGTAAAAAGATGTTAAAACATAAATTATCATTACACATCATAACAATGTTGCTAAAACCCTAATTTGATACGATGACTTTTGATTTGGTAATAAAAATTCAACAATGCCTAAAAGCGAAACTATGATGTGCTCTTTCCCCTTTTAATCTTATAAATTTATTCAAAATTAATTATTTGCAGGGACGGATGAAAAAAATTATGTTAGAAGTGCGAATTTAAGAAATTATTTTTAAAATTTAACGGATGTGAAATTATAAAATGTTTGGAGGAACGAAATCAAATAATCAATAGAAAATATGTAAAATATAAAATAATTTGAAATTTCTAGAGAGTGTGACCGCACCCCAATACTCCCTCGATCCATCCTCTATTATATGATTACATCACATAAATCTTAAACCATGAAATTCAAATTATGTTAAATTCTTTTTTCTTTTTAATCTTAAACAATTATTCAAAATAAATTACGTGATTACATCACTCAAACCCTGAACCCTAAATCTTAAAATTTAAATCAAGATCGAATATTTTCCCTCTTTCAGATCTTATAAAATTAGCCTGAATAAATTGTTCGCCGCACTGGAATCCTATTCGAACCAAATTGGATTAGGATACAATCCATTTTCCTAATCATGGACTAATCATTAGTTAAATCCAAGCCCAAGTTTGTTAATTTCATTAGAACAACTCCATGTTATTGTTATGGTGGTCAAACTCTTCTATTGGTCCCTGTTCTATACATAAATTATGGTTTTAGTCATTATACTTTTCAATCTTTAAACTTTTAGTTCTTGCTTAAACAATAACAATGAAATCTATGAAGTCAAGTTTTACTATTAATCTTTGCATTATGTATAAAATATATATTTAGTTTCTGTTAAGCACCTGTAATATAGTCATATTGTTCTTATATTGTATGGGTTAAGATTGAAATTTTGAATTTTGAACAGTAAAAGGACTAAAATTGACTAAATTAAAGTACAATGCTAAACCAATAACTTATATATAATAGAAAGACTAAATCACAATTTTAACTTAAAATATTAATTTGAAAGAACATATAATTATTAAAAGAGTAACGTACACAAATGGTCCCTCGACTATAGTGTGTTACTTTGTTGAGTCCCTCGACTATGGGGCATTGTTTTGTTAAGTCTCTCAACTATTAAAAATTACAAAATGATCCACCAACTATATGACTTTGTTTTGTTGAGTCCCCCGACTATTTATATATTCCCAGCTCATCATTTTCTATTAAAAAACTGATGGTCGTCTGAGTTGGGCGTTAACTTGTTGATTGAGATATCATAAAATCTTATCTCAAAACCTTTTCAGCTATATTTTATGGATCGAATCTTTGTTTATATTATGTCATCGAGCCAATGCTTGAAATATTATGTCACAGAGCCAATGCTTGAAAGCAACGACGACGTCAGTAAACATCATTGAAATATAATTTTATCATAGCTCAGTCAGTAGGTTAACGTCTAACTAGGACATTTTGTGATTTTTTAACAGAAAATATGAGTTTGGAACATATGAATAATCGAGTGACAATTTTGTAGCTTTTAATAGTATGAGAACTCAACAAAACAACAACTATAGTCAAAAGACTATTTTGTAACTTTTAATAGTCATGAAACTTAACAAAACAACAACTATAATAGAAAGACCAGTTGTATATTTTACCCTGATTAAAATAATAGTTGCATCTTATTGTATTTATTAAGAAATCTGCTTTTTTAACGGAGATTGTTAACTTTATTAAAAATAGAAAATATCCAAATTATACTAAAAGTTTACAATTATAATCATAAACTAAACACATAATATGGACATTTTCCTATAATCATTAGCACAAAAAATTAATAATTTATAATAAAAATATCAAACAAGAAAAATGTTACAAACTTATAAATCTAATTTTTTTAATATAAACCCAATTTTTAAATATATTTAATTGATGAAATATAATTACATGTGATTCGATAAGATTGAATAATTAAAAATAAATAATATTTAAAACCATTTTAATTAATTATGCGTGTAATTTTCCCAATCTCAACCCCTCTAAGTTCATTAAACACTCAATAAATCAGTCAAAGTTCGTACTTCATAAGTGTGAACATTTTCATTTAGTCAATATCTAACAACTGCCATATTTTTATTTTGCAATTAAATAATAAAAAAAAACTTGTAAAAAAACAAACCCTAAAGATGTAAAGGAAAAATACACAACTTTTTCTCATTAAAAAAGTGTTCAATATTAAAACTAAAAATTTAAGGTTAAATTATGTTTTCAATCTCTTGAATAAAATTTGAGATTTAATTCATATATTTGAAAGTTTTTAAATTAAAATTATGATATATATTAATATGACAACATGATATGTCACGTTAGTAAAAAATATTTTATTTTTATTTATTAAATTAATTTTATTTAATAAAAAATAAATAATATTAATTTAATAAATAAAAATAAAATATTTTTTATTAATGTAATATGTCATGTTATCACTTTGGGCACATGATATATGTATGACATTACTTATGTAAATTCATGCGACAATATCATATCAACATTTTTGGACACATAATGTGCCATGTCAGCAAAAAAATGTGACAAAATTAGAGAAATATTGTTGGCACTGGTGTGAAATTATTTAGGGGTATATGTCATTTGATATAGTGGATTAGGAACTCGTCACGTATGATGAGTTTCATAAAAAATTATTAGAACTCGTCGCGTAGATATGACTAGTTTCATGGATGAGTTCCATAAAATATAAATTTTTAGTAGAGCTCGTCAAGTCAACACGACGAGTTTCAATAAAAAAAATATATTTTTATTGAACACATCACGTCCACACGATAAGTTCCTAATCACTATAGCGAATGTCAAAATTCTCTAAATAATTTTTCACCAATTGCATACAAAATAGTTTTGGCACGAAGATTATTCTACTAAATTTGCCGACAAATGTTGATTGTTAGTCGTCTAATGATTTTCATCTAATCGGGGATTATTTTAATTTAAAACAAAACGTTAAGAGCTAAAATACTTGAAAATCAAGGACTAAGATAACTATTCAATTGGGTATTAGATGTGAATTTTAAGATTGTACCTTTAATTTTCAAGTACATGGATTAAATTTTAAACAAGTAAATGACTGTCTACTTAATTTGACCAAAAGTTAAATAAGGATAATATAATATTGAAATTATTATTATTATTATTATTATTATTATTATTATTATTATCGTAGTCTTTATTGCATATAAATCATGATTATCAGATAAATTTCTGGAGTGTACTTATATTAAGGTCGACTGATCAAAGATTCATCAGCTTCTGAAAATTCCTAATCCACAAAACCCTCTTTCCTTCATTTTCAAAACCAGAAGATTACTTTCACGTATTTACTCAACAAGGTGGCGCACCAGAGGAGGTCCGGTGAGTTCATCAGGTTTCCTCCTGTTGAAGATGGCGGCTCCGATCAACCACAACAAGAGGAGGAGGAAGAAGAAGGTGGTTTCCGACAAGGCAGACGACGGAATAGGGATGATGAAGCAGATATGTTTTTTGGACCACAAAGTCATCAAGCAACCGAGATGTCTGCAATGGTGTCTGCCTTGACAAATGTTGTCTCTTCAGGCCAAATAGTTCCTGCTGGTGCTTGGGGTTACCCTTCTGATTTGGACGATGCATGGTTCGGACATACACAAAGTGGCTCGGCTGCTGGTTCTGGTTCTGCCCCATGGAAGACTGGTCGGAAAAGAAGGCGTGAAGAGGAGATTATGGCTCAGTTGGTTGAGCCTGAACCCGGGGCTCAAAGAGGCTCCCATGCCGATCCATCATCTGCTGCAATTTCTGGTATGTCGTAGTTGCAATGTTACGGTGTAATTTATTTCTGTATAATGTCAAAATTAACCCTCAACTTCAACCAAAATGATTATTTTAATCCTTATTTTTTTTCTTTTAGATCGTTTTCGCCCCAACGTTTCATTTTGAGACAAAGAGACCTATGTAAATACAAATTGTATTTAACAAACGGTGAACTCCTAAATAGGGGTTTTTTATCCTAAAATGAAACGTTAAGAGTTAAAATGCTTCAGGAAAAAAAAGAATAAGTATCAAAATGGCTATTCATAAAAGGTTATAACCTTTTTTGCCCAAAATAAATCGTTTGATGCTAAAATATTAATATATATATATATATATAAGCTAAAATGATCGCTTTAATAAATATTATAGATAAATTTTAACACTATGCGCTTCTTAAAATATAACAATATTCTCAAGTTGTGAATATAAATATGATACGGTAAAGATATTAAAATTTATTATGATAGAGTATTATACTAAGTTGCGATACATTTGGCATAATGTTAAAATTATCATCCTAATTTTATTAAAATGATCATTTTTGTTCTTATTTTAGTATTTTAACTTTTGATATTTTACTTTAGAGAAAAAATATCTTTTCGTGGATGAAAAACGTTAGTTAATAAATTATTAACGTTTTAAAATATAAATTATTTTATCTTAAAATAAATCGTTAAATTATTCTAAAAATAAAATCAAAATAATTATTTTAATAAATATTGATTGATTAATTTTACATTATGCTTGCAATTTAATCCTGTGATGTTAACAAGTCTACATTAGTACTTTGGAAGAAAATGTAATGAAACTCAAAGCTACAACGAAATAGTCACCTTTTAACAGTTTCTTTAATCTCTCAATTTTTTTCTTAACAGTTACTGAAGAAACTGTTGCTGCACCAGCAACGGCGGAAACTACCTGCGATGCGACGACGTTTTCAAACGAAGAAACCGGCGAGCGGCGAAGAAGATACCGAGGCGTAAGGCAAAGACCATGGGGGAAATGGGCGGCGGAGATACGTGATCCGAACAAAGCAGCACGAGTTTGGCTCGGAACATTCGAAACGGCGGAAGCCGCCGCAAGAGCCTACGATGAAGCGGCTTTGAGATTCAGGGGAAACAGGGCAAAGTTAAATTTCCCGGAAAATGCCAGGGTTTTCCCTCAACCGCTGCAGAATTTTCCGGCCATCCAAACACCAATTTCTACTTCCCTAACAACCCATTTTCCGTCATATTACCAATCCCCGAATCCTCTTCAGAGCTCCACCGCCGATATGCTGAGAGATTACTGGAACTACTCTCAGTTTCTACAGAGTTGTAATGATTTCAATGGACAACCAGCCACGAGCTTGCTAAACCAAATAATCCAATCATCTCAGTTACCTAATATTCAACCGCCATTGTTATCTTCTTCTTTGTCACCACCACTACCTTTGCCGCCTTCATCATCTTCCTCTGTTTCTTTACCTCTGCTTTCTGCTGAGCAGCACCAAATGGGCATTTTCAGGCCGCCGTCTAGTCAAACTCAGGCTAGTGGATCAGTTTTTCCGCCGCCGCCATGGTTTCATCCTACTAATCATTCTTCATCCACCGGTTAAAATATTAAAGGGTTAATTGTCCAAAATGTCTCAAATTATGACCCGAACTTTAAAATGGTCCTAGAACTTCAAAATACCTCATCTCACGTCTAATTTTAAGCTTACGATTAGACCGACTGAATGATCTAACTATTAAGATATCGATACTTTAAAAATGTGGCTTAAATATTTTGAAAATTTGGAATTAATCTATTATCGGGTCAAATTTTTTGGACATCTGGTGTAATTGACCTAACAATAAAATTATATATTTTTTAATATAGATAAAAAATCATATTATTGGGAATATAGTATATTTTTTCCTTTTATTTTAATTTTGTTTATCATCGTTATTATTGTAAAAAGGGTAAATCAGAATAAAGTTTGGTGGGGATGATGATATATAAACAAAAAGGCATGTAGGGTTTATGGTTTAGGCATAGTTTTATGCTTTGCTTTACACCCAAAGATTCTTCAATGAATGTAATTTGGTTTCTTTATTCTAAATCTTATATATATATATATAAAGATAATAAATGATAATAACGTTGAATTAAATTCAATTCAATATGTAAATTCAAGAAAAATTAGTTTAAACTTGACACGACGTGATCGAAATGTTTTTTGATCACCTAAAATTTGTTCCACTATGATCGTGATAAAATTTGATCTCGTTCTAATTTTAGTATAAATATAAATTAATGTATATGTTTTGCATTCCACTTGAAAATTTAATTAAAAACACATTTTCAATCCATTAACATAAATTTCAATTTTTGACATATAATTTTAAAAATAAATAATAATTAAATAAAATACTAATTTATTCAAACTAATAAAATAAAATCCTAATGAAAACAATCACATAATTTCAACACATTACATGTCAAATATATATCATTTTTTAAGAATTTTCTTGAATCAACCTTTGGATTTGTTCTTAAAAAGAAGTCTGGTCTTATTAAATCAAATCGAATACAAATAATTAAAGAATATATATATATATATATATTTTTAAATTTAAGAAGAAAACAAAAGCGACGATATCTCATTTATGAGGTCAGCGTAGGTAGTCACACGTAACAATGAGTCAATGGATGAGGTCAAATGTTGGAGAGTGGAGCCCACGAAAAACACGCGTTACACATGAGCCCGAACTTAGTAATGACGTGAACACATAATGTCAATAGTCAATTTCAAGGTGCCTGCCATATAAAATAAAATAAATCAAAGGGTAAAGTATATATTTAGTTCTCCATCTATTATTGCAGTTTCATTTTAATCACTTTATTTTTTTTTTCAAAATTAATCAATTTTACGTTTAATCATTTAACATTAAAAAATTACGGTAAACTAATGCGTTACTATAAGATAATGCAACGTCATCATTTAAATTTTTTAAAAAAGACCATAATAATTGTTATGTATAATTTTTAGTAACATTTGACTAAAACAGAACAAAAACATAATGCTAAATATGCTTTAAAAAAATGGTTGGATGATCAAAATAGAACTGTGAGAAAAATGTGTTAATAACTACATAATTTACCTTAAACTAAAGTAAAAATAATTTTGGGTATCATAAAAATATAAAATAACTTAAAATTATAATAACATAAAAGATATGTTGATGTATAACAAATAAGATAGATTTTTATGACGAATATTAACGATTTTTTTATGTGAGAAGAGAAACATATGAAAAGATAAGATGATCATAACTGATGATAGTTTATCTATTTAGATTTAGGTTATAGAGAGCGAGAATGAATTCAAAAAAGATAAGGAAAAAGAAGGAAAGAAAATTCTTTTTATATTTTATTCTTTTTAATAATAATTCCTTTTCGGTAAAATCATGTGAAAAGAAGAGTTTGGTACAATCAATTCGACACGTGCTCTAATAGTTTTAGTTCCTTAAAAGACTTTCTACATTACAAAATTTTATATACCTACCATTTTTGGACCATTTTCCAGAAATTATATATTTTGAGCTTCAACTTTTTTATTTCATGTCGAGCTCAACTATTTTAAGATCATTAATTTTGATTTAAATCGAGTTGAGTTAAACTTAAATTTGTATTTTTCAAATTAAATCGAGTTAAATACTATTCATCTACGACCCTACCTATAACAACCAAATCTAAAAATAGAATGATGTGATTTTTGGGATCATCGAGCATAGGATACTTAGGTTAGGTGTCCTATAGAGTTTAGTACATCACGAAATTACGAGGAAGCTAAATTCTCAAGACCCACTATAAAATATACAAAAGCTAGGCAAGTTAGGTACGACTAGGTTAGATTTTCGTATTTAAATAATATAAAAAATAATTTAACCACACATATAACATCAGAATTGTATAAATACTTTAAATAATTGATATGATATAAATATATCAAAAAGTAATTTTTTATTATTTTAATATATTAATTATTATAACTAGAATATATAACATTCGAGTTAAGATTATCAATTATGTTTATGAATGATGATTTAATTTGTGTTGGATAAACAAGAGTTTAGTAATATAAAAGTTTTTTATTAATAGAAGTAATATAAAAGTTCTTCAAATAGGAAAGGGTAAAATACGTAATAGTCCTTTAATAATAGGATTTTTTCCAAGTCTCTTAACCATAAAAGGTTATAAAATGATCAATTGACTTTAAAAAATACCAAATTGATATGCTCCTATTAAAATTGACGACAAACGACGCAACAATTGATAAAATGGAAGGTTACACTACATATTTAGTATCTCAACTATATATTTTTATTCTGTTATGGTCACCCAATTATTTTTTTTTCAAAAGTATGTCTAACGTTACGTTTTAATTTTATTTGGTCACAATCGTTAAAAAATTAACAAAACTGTTGATGTGATTTTTCCCCCAATGATGATGTGACATTATTTTATGGTGACACATCAACATCACCTTTATTATTTTAATGACGGATGGCAAAAATGAAACCAAAACTAAAGTATGATTTTTAAACAAAAAATAGGTGGGTGGCCAAAATAGAACAGAAATGATAGTTAAAGTACTAAACTTGTAGTTTACCTAAAATAGAAACTAAAAGTTGAAAAAGAAAGAATAAAGGGTAAAATAATCAAATAGTTCACTAATTTAGAATAAAGCGTTGATTTTCTATAATTAGAATTAAATTAAAATACCGTTAAATTTGAGGATTAAATTCATTACTATTCCAATTTTATTAACTATCGAGCTATTTACCATCAATTCTTTAACATCAATAGATCAACTAGTTATTTTTTAAGTCGAATAACTATTTTATATTTCTTTAATCAGAAATTTAACAAAAAAATACATTATGATCAAGAGATTATCAAGTATTTGACCCAATAATAAATATCCAATCATTTATATTTGAATTCGTTGAGTGACCGATAAGACTAAAGAGGAATCAGAGTGAACATTGAATCAAGTCGTATTTGAATATTGGCAAAGAATTCAATTCCATGGCAAAAAGAAGTTGAAGTTTAAATTTGCTTTGAAATGGAAATGACAAAAACCAAACCTTTTGATTGATTTTAGGTTGCAATGAAAGAAATGGTCCGAAAATTTGGCCAAGGCATTGCCAAATGCCTACCATTCTTATTAATGATTTGTGTTGTCAAATGTTGTATGGTCTCAAAATCAGGGTTTGAGATCCCTTTTTCCTAAATTAGTGGACTTCAAGCTTTCACCTTTAATCAAATGAGATGTGTCCATTTTATGTTATACCTTAGTTTTCTATCCCATCAATCTCCTTTACCTTTATCAATTATTTTCAGCCTTTTTGTATATGGTTAGACTCTCCAACAATTATTCTAATAGTCAGGGGATGAATCGAACGGTTATTAGGAGTGGTCGTACCTCTTAAGAATTTTAAATTTTTATATAGTTAAGATATTTTCTTTGTATTTTTACTGACGATTTAATTTCATACCAATGAAAGTGGTGAAGGACATATTTAGTATATTAACCTATTGCATTCCTTGTGCCAATCAGGGACATGCCATGGTAATTATTAAAGAGAAAAGGGGCTTTTCAATAATTTTTCGAGTTTCGAGTGATGAAAATAATATTTTTACAAACTGAAATAAAAGAAAAAACCAAAACTAGACGTTCCACCCAATGTTGCATGTCATTCAAACAATCTAAGATGAAAAAGTAAAACTATTCACTTCATCTTCTCATAACAATTACAAATACACATCAATGGAGTCTGCTCATCAATTCATGCATTGGCAACTCACAAATCAACCCCGTCATCGCCAAGCTTCTTTCGGTGTGATATGGCTTCTACTTTCGGTAATTTTGGAATTGGCAAGGACGTCGTTGGCTGCGATTTCCCAACTACCACTTCTCCTACCCCAACTTGAGTGTCTCGTTTCAGATCGAATTGTGGGAGATCGGTGATCGGAATTCAGAATAGAATCAACATCCAAGGTGGTACGGGCAGGGCCATTGCCCCCTCTACTACGGATGTCGTCGTCGATTTCCTCGATATTACGTCGTTGGGAGATCTTCAATAGATCTTCACCGATCTCTAGATCATCTTCAACCTTGGAACGAGGATCTCCGCCTAGATCTTCAGCTTCAGCCCCTCGAGTATTCGGTAAGGTAGGCCTTGGTGCCTCGTCTCGAACATAAGCCCGGAAATTGTTCTTCGAGGGCTTTATTGTTGTGCCAAATACTTCAAGAAAATTACTAGGACAACCCAGATTGTAAACATTGATTCTGTTGTCAGCCCTAAATCGAAAATTTTCATAGGTAGTCTGGAAAACATGTACATATAGTTAATACCTAATTCCCCAAACACTATTGAATTAAACAAAAATGAATCTCTGCTCCTTACCACATGAAATGTAAATCTTGCCCCTCTCCCCCACCCATAAACACATACACACATACACTATATTTCCATTTTTTTTTGAAGAAGCTAGATTCAAGGCCTAAAACTTACTAATTTATTTCTCGGACGACTTTCGCATATTTATTTACGGAAATCTGACAAGATAGGAGGGCAGAAAAAACAATGTAAGAACTTAGGACAGTTTTTATAGTGCTTGATTCAAATTCTTAAGCGCATTTCAAAAACAAAATCAAGCTCTGATTTGTACTAAGATCAAGCACAACTTTAATTACCCAAGAGAAAACACGGGAAATTAACAGACCTGGTTTGTTGCAATGAGGTACAAGTGAAACCCGGTAAGCCCGCCAACAAACCACAGTGCAATGAAACAGTATGCCATTAATATGACAGATGGAGGAGATTCCTGCATTGCTTTCCAAACTGTTCCATGGTGATCACCCATCAGAACCTTGATGTACACTGCTGACAGGGAGAATACATAGATGCAGAGAAGAGTTGCTGAAGAAACGAACATAAAGAAGTACCGGTAATTTCGCTGCTCATATACACAACAGTCAGTCTCCTAACAAAAAGACTGCTTGGGAGAATCAAGCAAGAAACATCCAGAGAAGAATCGATAAACAGGCTTATCAGATAAAATAACATACCAGTCCAATACATTGGCCCACCCATGGACAATGGTGATCAAAACGCTCTACACAATTGTTGCAAATGGAACAGTGGGAGCAACGAGGAGGGCGATAAAGCATGCATGTGTCACAGTACTTAACCCGAACTGGATTCCCATTAACTATAACTTCCTTGGTTCGAGGGAATTGGAGGCTGGGTGTTTGCCTAACCCCGGCCTCAGTTGAAACAGAAGATTCATAGCGGAACTCCTCCTCCGGTGGATGTGAATTGCGTGGAATGATTCCTGGGTCCCGGGCTGATGTGAGGAAAAGAAGAACCAACACCTATCAAAATACATACACCTTTAAAAATGCATTCACCATATAATTCAAGAAATTAGAAGGCCAACATTCTATAAGAACTCAATTTCCGATCTAAATCAAACGAAAGGGTTCTGCTGTATATTTTACCAAAATATATTTTAAAATTCAGAAGATCAATTATCTTCTGAATTGGAACAAACAAGTTTGTTAACCCTAAATCACAACAATTTACCTTCAAGAAATGCCCGTGAGAATTTCATTCACCGAAATTTATGACAGAAAGATAATTGCCGAGAATTCCCATCATTTAAAAATTGGTACTCAGAGTTCATAAAGGTCTTAGGAAAACATTTAACTGCTGGCATCCAGTGTGACTGACTCAACAGTAGTTGTTCTAAAACCACAATAAAGAATTCATGCAAGAAGTAAAAGGTAAAGACTCACATAGATGGTAAAGACGATTGCTACCGCCAGAATTGCATATCCTGCATTATATGGAGAAAATGCATGCCGAAGATGCCTTGCAACAAACACACAAAAGATAATAACAGGAACAATGATCAGCAATATGGTAACAAGTAGAGACTTAGCATCTGGCCCGAATATCAGCCTCCCACCAAGGATAAACTTCTGCAAAATGCATATAGAAGAGGATATAAATGCTGAATGATAATTGCATAATCTGTCCAGACATGAGAAAGCGCCATCAGCCTACCAAATTTCCATGTTTTAAAACCTTCATTATAAACATTTTTCATAAATTGTACCCCATTGATTGCTTTCTGCAGGAAAATGAACTAAAATTCTGACACAAGACATTGACTTAAGAAGGAATTACCATGGAGAGAAATAGTGAGAGAGAGAGAGAGTCCGTCAAAAGTTTGGGTCCTGGTGGTAACCGTAGAGAGGTTCATGGTGGAATTATTTGGTCAGCGTTCGTTGATAATCTTAGCAGGAGAGTGAGTCGCAGTGATTTATGGGCTCGTTTTAGTCATTTTGGTAAGGTTATTAAGGTGTTCATTCCGTTTATCAATAATAGACCGAAGTATAAGGTAAGCACGTTTGCTTTCGTCCATTTTGCAAGTAAGGAGGATCTGTGTAATGCAGTGGATAAGATGAATAACGCCCTGATTGATGGGAGGAGGATTTTAGTGGCTGTAGCCAAATATGAGAAGATATCTGGGTCGAAGAGACAGAAAGATGGGAGGGCTGATGGAGTTAATAGTGCTGGTATCAGTGGGGGAATGGGTAGAAGATTGCCTCCTCAAGCTGACAGGGTGAGGAGGATGGAGATGCTGGATAAGTTTCATGATGGGAGGTCCTACAAGGAGGCGGTGGTGGGGGTGTATAAAGAGTCAGAGGGTGTGCAAGAGGGTATTCATGTTAATCCGAAGGAGATGAATAATACTAAGGATGTTTCCATCCCAGTGGAGGATAGGGTATGGCTTAGATCGTCTCTTACTGGTATCTTCAAAGATATTTTTGAACTTCATATTGTGCAGAAAGCGTTAAGGAACGAGGGCTTCAACGTAAAGGTTGTTAGGTGGGGTTTTGCTAAGAATGCGTGCCTGGTTGTGTTCCAATCGGTGGAAGAGAAGAAGTTAGCAATGGAAGGAAAATGGGAAGCTTTGTCCTTCTGGTTTGAAAGGTTGGAGCCGGTATTGGATGAGGAAAGCATTCCTCGAGCTTTTTGTACGATCTCCATGGTAGGAGTTCCTTTAAATTGCTGGTCGGTTCCGTTCTTCACTAGGGTGGTATCCAGGTGGGGAAAGTTAGTGAAGATTAAAGAGGAAACTGCTCAGAGATTGGACTGCAGAGTTGCACAGATGCTTCTTAGGGTAGTCAGCCCTTTTGACATCCCTGATCATACTTCAGTTACTACGAATGGAAGGAAATTTCTAATAAAAATTAAGGTGGATGGGGGGGATGATTTCTTTCCTGATTTTTCAGATCTGGCTGAAGAGGTTGTTCCAGAGGATCCTTCGGTGGAGAACTCCTCCGGTTGGAGCACAGAGGATGGGCAGGCACAGCATGGAGGTCACGTGGGATGTCAGGAAATGTCAGAAATCCATAATAGGGTGCTAGAGTGGGTTGCAGACTCACAACGTTGTAATGTCACAGATTCCGAGAGAGTTGACTTCTCTCCACATGAAAAGTCGGAAGATCTTTTTGAAAGTAAGAAAAGCGGGAAAAGTATGGGGGGGATCTTTTTAAGCTTGATAATGTTGACCGGGAAAGTGGGCCTAATTCAGGCCTTGGAGGGATTCAGTTGGCTGGTCTGGAGCAAGAAAACTGCCTAAACTCTATGGGCCGTAGTCCTTTTTCATCAGATACAATTAAGGACTCAGTAGGGGTTGAAGTTGGAGGAGGGGATCCGGTTGGTTTAAAGTTGATAAGTTTAAGAGATGGTTCACAAACATGCTCTGCAAGTTCGTTATCCATGAAGACGGCTCCGGTTGGAAGGAAATTCATCAGAAGTCATAATAAAACTTATAGTAGGTCGAAGTCTAGAAAGATCTGGAATCAGGTTGTGAAAAATTGTAATAAGATGCAGGATTGTAAGGAAAAGTCACGAGGGGTGTTCAATGGTGAGACAGGAAGAGCTTTAATTTCTAGAGGTTGTCTTTCTGATGTTCCCAAGGCTGCTGGGTTTTCGATAAAGGAATGGGACAGTTCTTGGGTGAGCAGACCATACAGGAGAATTAAGAGGTCTCTATTTAGGGAAGCTGTTGATCATGCTAGTGTTGATACTGTTTCCTCATCAGCTTTTCCTTTGCTGGTTGAGGAAGCAATTGCTACATGGGAAATTAGTAAGATGCTGGGGATATCTTTCAAGGAGGGGAAGGAAGCTTTTATACAAAAGATTGTTGAATTGGAGAAAGGGTTGTGTGGGGCTATTTGACCTGGAGATTTGTATGTGGGAGTTCTGGGTTCTGTTTGTTTGGGTATCATGACTAAGCTAAGTATATTGTCTTGGAACGTTAGGGGTTTGGGTAAAAAAAGAGAAACATAGAGTTGTGCAAAAACTTGTTTCTGAGAAAAAACCGTCGTTTCTTTTTCTTCAAGAAACAAAACTCGAAAAATTACCAATGTCGTTTTTAAGGAGGAGTGGTTTGAATGGGTTGCAGGGGTTCGTTGAGTCTCCAGCAATAGGTTCATCTGGAGGTTTGTTAAGCTGTTGGGATGATAATTTTTTTGAGATTGACGATCAGTTTATTCATAGGAGGTTTATTGCTGTTTTTGGAAGGATCAAGTCTAATCACCTTAGGTGTGGCTTCATTAACGTTTATGGCCCGTCTGTGGAGGAAGAGAAGGCTGCTTTTTTTAATGAACTGGGACTGTTTGTAAACGGGTTCAGTATCCCTTTGTGTGTGGGAGGGGATTTCAATGCCTATTTGATTGAAGAGGAGAAGTTAGGCAGAGGTCATAACAGGAATTCATTGGAAACTTTTAATCATTTTATTCAGCAAACGGGACTTATTGATCTGCCTCTGGTTGGGGGGGAATTTCACGTGGAGCAGTTATCGGGATTTGCCGACGGTTGTAAGACTAGATAGGTTTCTGGTGAACTGTAATTTCTCAGCAGAATTTTCCGGTATTAACCAGTTTCTTTTGCCTAAATCTATCTCCGATCATAATGCAATTTTCCTGGAGAGGGGGGCAGATAATTGGGGTAAGAGACCCTTTAGGCTGTTCAATTATCTATTGTCTGAGGATGGTTTTGAGGAGATGGTTGTTGAGTCTGTTAAGCGGTTCAAAGAAGAAAATTCAAGAGGTGGAATTTTGAGTATGCTTAGGAATACAAAGTCTGCCATTAAGTGCTGGTCTGGAGATAGAAATCAATTTCCTCGAATGGACATCTCTATGTTAGAGGACAAAATTCATCAGATTGGAAAAGGGGATGCAACATCATCCTCCTTCCAATGATGTTGTCATCTCGACAGAATTGAGACTGTTGAGAAATGAACTTTGGAGACTGCTTAGAATCGAAGAGCAAATTTGGGTACAAAAGTCTAGAGAGAAGTGGGTCAAAGGTGGTGACCGTAATTCAAAGTTTTTTCACACTTGCGCTTCCATTAGGAGGAGGCTGAACTCTCTGTATGCTTTAAATGTTGATGGTGTCATCACCAATGATCCAGGTCTTATCAAGTCTAGGGTCAGGGAGCATTTCTTTAAAGCTTTTAATTGTTGCTCAACAATGGAAGTGGAGGGTATTAACTTAGATTTCGCAAAAATCTCCCTGCAACAGAACCTATTGCTAGAGAAGGAGTTTACGGAAGATGAGATTTGGGGGACCATTAAATTATTGTGATAGTAAATAAAGCCCCTGGGCCAGATGGGTTGAACATGGGTTTTTTCAAGACCTTCTGGCTTAGCTTGAAAGGCGATATATTGAAATTCTTCCACAACTTCTATTTGGGTAAGGAATGGGAGCATGGTATTAACCATTCCTTCTTAACTCTCATCCCGAAAGGTTCTAATGTTGGGAGTTTAGATGATTTCAGACCTATCTCCCTTGTAGGTGGGATGTATAAGATCCTATCTAAGTGCCTTGCGAGTAGATTGAGATGTTGCATCAATGATATAATCAGTGATTCTCAATTTGCTTTCATTCCTGGGAGACAAATTTTGGATTGCTCTTTTATTGCTAATGAAGGAATTGATTTATGGAGGAAGAGAGGGTTGAAGGGTTGTGTATTTAAGGTAGACTTTAAAAAGGCTTATGATTCGGTAGATTGGGACATTTTATTTAAAGTTATGGCGAAGATGGGGTTCGGTTCTAAATGGTGTAGTTGGATCCGGATGTGTGTGTCAACTGCTTCGGTGTCAGTATTAGTTAATGGGGTTCCTACTGATGAATTTCCTATGGCTAGAGGCCTCCGGCAGGGTTGTTCCCTGTCCCCTCTGTTGTTTAACCTTGTCGGAGAACTGCTTAACCTGTTGCTTCGTAAAGCAGTATCTTCGGGCCTTTTCAGTGGTCTGGTGGTTGGTAAAGACGAGGCCTCAGTCAACTTATCTCATCTGCAATTTGCAGATGACCTAATCATTTTCTGTAGTGCTTCGAAGACCCAGATTGTTAATGTTAAGAGGATCCTTCGGGTGTTCGAAATTATGACTGGTCTGGAACTGAATCTGTCTAAGAGTAGATTATTTGGGATTAATATTAATGAGGAAGAGCTTCTTCAGTGGGCTAATGCTATTGGATGTCCTGTAGGACATTTTCCTGCAGAATATTTGGGGCTGCCTCTTGGTGCGAAGAGAAACTCTATGATGTTGTGGGATCCGGTAGTTCAAAAGTTTCATTCAAAGCTAGCCGGATGGAAGGCGAAGACTCTATCAATGGCAGGGAGGTTGGTTTTACTGAAGGCAGTTTTGGGTTCCCTTCCTATCTATTTCATGTCCCTTTTCAAGATGCCTTCTTCGGTGAGTGTTAAGCTGAATTCCATCATGGCCAGATTCTTATGGGGAGGAGGAGTGGAGGCTCGGAAAATCCATTGGGTCAATTGGACAAAAGTTTGCTCCGATAAAAGTGTTGGAGGTCTTGGTGCTATGAATATAAGTCTTATGAATAGAGCTCTCTTAGGGAGATGGTCTTGGAGGTTTGCTAACGATAAAGACTCAGTGTGGAAGAAGGTTATTTGTTGTAAATATAATTTGGATCCCAGTTTACTGCTGTTTAACGAGAAACTTCCTACACATGCTTCTTGGATTTGGAAATCGGTGGTCCTCAACCATTTCAAAAAGGATCAGTTTGGAGCAAAGTTTCGTAGCAACTTTAAAGTCAGAGTGGGTGATGGAGGGAGCATTAGATTTTGGTGGGATAGTTGGGCACATGACTCCCCACTTAAAGTGATTTTTCCGAGGCTGTATGTGCTGTCTATAAATAAGAATGGGAAGCTTTATGAGTTTGGGGAATTTCGATCTTCAGTTTGGTCTTGGCATGTTAATTTGAGAAGGAATTTGAGTGAATGGGAATTGGTTCAGTACTCTGAATTAATGACCCTAATCCACAATATCCCTCTTTCTCAGGAATTATCGGATGGGTTGGTCTGGTTTGGCAATGGGGAAGGTGTTTATACTGTTAGTTCGAGTGTTAAGTCATGCAGGCCTGTTGGTATAACAGACCCCTTTTGGAATAAGTATGTTTGGAGGGGAACGGTGCCTCCTAGGGTGGAGGTCTTCTTGTGGCAGGTCGTGCACCAAAGATTGCCAGTTAAAGTTGAGCTACAGAGGAGAGGAGTTTCAACTATTGTGGATGTTGCTTGCCCTTTTTGCGGAGAGGCGGATGAAACCTCAGCACATTTATTCTTTTCTTGCTCGGTGGTGTGGTCCTTATGGAATAAATTTTTGATTTTCTGGGGAGTTTCTTCAGTTTTTCAAGACAATGCTCACAGCTTTATGGTCGCTTGGGATGAATTGGTACCTAATTCGAAAATTTGGTCCTTCATTCCGGGGGTGGTTTTATGGACAATGTGGAAGGGGAGGAATGCAATTGTGTTCGAGGGGGGGAAGGTAGATCAGATTGATTTATTCTTTTTTGGCAAGATGTAGACTGGCTGCTTGGTTCTTAGCTTACTTCAAGGCTGTATCTATCCCTAAGGACTCTCTTATTTGTGACCCTTCACTTGGGGATTGCTGCTCCTTATTAAGCTCTCCTATTGTCAAAACGGTGTCCTGGTCTAAACCTCCAGAAGGATTTATTAAGCTGAATGTGGATGCGGCTGTGACTGCAGATTGGAGGAAGAGTGGTGTTGGGGGCATTCTTAGAGATCATTATGGTTCGGTGGTGGGCTCTTTTCAAGACGCTGCTGGTCCAGGTCCTCCAGTTTTGTTAGAACTCAAGGCAATTATGAAAGGGTTATCTTTCTTTGACTCGTTTCAGCAGCGGTTTAAGGAAAGGTTAATTGTTGAATCAGACAGTAAATTAGCAGTGGATTGGGTCAAGAACATCGACCGTTGTCCCTATGTTTACTTAGACATTGTGACAGCTATTGGTGGCAAGGTTAGTGGACTGAATAGTAGTATTAGATGGATTGCTAGGTCAGCCAATGTTGAGGCTGATAGTTTAGCTAAGGCTGGTATTGGGTAGATCTCTGGTTTTTAGTTGGGTTTCTGTTAGGTTTTGGGTTGCTTATTTGAATGATAGGTTGTATGGTTGTTTTAAGTATTTGTAACTTGTGGTTATCAATGAATTAATGAGGCACTCTTTTCCTCCTTCCGCTGATTAAGGAGCACCGTGTGATCCGTTAATCATGAAGGGGGTTTTTAAAGAGGCCTACCTTTCCTATCAAAAATAAATAAATTGTACCCCATTTATTCAGTTTTGGTCATCATTAACCTAAATCCTTGCATCCTAAAGCACTCTTCAAAATTCTAACTTTCAATTACCTCCAACCTTTGTTACAAATTATGTAGGGTACCATCTTGAAATATATGTGATAAGTTTATCCTACACCAGCACAAAGAATGAGAACTTAAAGCAGTTTCTTGTTGCATATATGTGATAACATGAAACAAATACACAGGGAATCAATATATGTATCTACAAAATACTCCTTTATCATAACATCTACCACAAGATCCTTCACTAATATATGCTATTTAAATCAACAGATGAGCATATAGATCAATACTTTTCTTTTACAAACCCACACAAGTGGCAGAAGGGATCCTACAAGAACCAAATTGTATAAGGCTATAACGAAGAGAAACTCAACTTTTTGCATGTATCCAGACCAGTACCAATCGTGAAATCTGTTCCTACTTTCTATGCTAGTCATACATAATAGCCTTAGCTTTATCTTTTTCAATAAAACTTAATCAGCTGCTGTGAACAACAGAAAAGGATTGCAGGGATACTGAAAGCCCCATGATAATGGTTGAAATCCTTATGCACAAAAAATTTACTTAGCTTTTTCCAAAAGTTCAAAGCATAATTCCCTTTTGGGAATAATCTTCTCCTATTAAATAATATGCTAACTATATGTGCATTTTTTAATTTAATCATTCATCTTTTAGGTTTTGTAGATACCATAATATGATTATATAAAACGCTAGAAAAATGTAAAAGGGAAACCCAACAGGCTAACACTCAAAGGAAGACACTGAAAGGAACCGAATAGGGCCTTCCAAAAGACTAATAGTAAAATATAGTAATGGTAGTATCACAAGGAACACAAAGTTCATAGCAAGTTAAACAGCATCAAAGGTTTACAAGATTGAATTTCTTTTGAGGAAAAAAGTATGTATATATCTACTCATCTAATGGCTTAAAGGGATTTCAAGCTCAAGTAATATTCTTTTCTTTCCATAACCCAGGTCCTTGATCATCTACTGATTAATTCTCTTAATTTTCTTGAATTTAACAAGGGCTATCACATAAAATAATTAGCACTATATCAAGTTTCTGAGAGTCAAGAGATACATAACATTGAACCCAACCTCAATATATTATCACCACAACGTGTAGATCATCACAACATAGAATGAACAGAAAAACTCTGCAACATATTGTACTTCTCAAACATGAAGAAAATCAAACATCGGATCATCAATTACTTCACAAATCCAGTCAGTGATAGTATAAATAGTGGACACTGCATTGTTTATCCCCCAGCCTTGTAAAATCCCCTGAAATTTCCAAATAATATCGCTTTCTTCAACATTCTAATTATTACTCATTGGAATACTCTCCATCCCAACACCCGAAAGGAAAATACTGTTGATTTTGACATCCAAATAAGCAGTGGATGTCACGAAATGCATGTCGGACAATTTTTCATCACCATGTTCCTTGAAAATATTTTTTATTCTTCTTTTATTTGGAGGATAAGGGTGTTAGAGATTGTAAATGTAACCTGTAACTTCCAACAAATAGGGTTATTCATCTAAAAAAATCACAAACTAAAACCACATTTTCTCATCCTTCTATCTTCAAGCAATACTTTTGCATCGAGTGATGCACAACAGCACAAAAGCATCCCTTTTGATCCTAATGTCGCCACAATAATAAAGTAACAAGTATATTCACAGGCTTGCCAAACTTGGAAAACCATCGTAGTTTCGAATTTGGAAAATGTAATCTAGAGGCAAAGAGAATCTGTCCCATCTGGTCTTACACACTAGCAAGAACTTTAACACTATAGTTATACTTAATTGAACTATGCCATTTCTCTCCAAACACTGGGAGAAGAGAAGTTTGAAACTCTTAACAGCACCCATCATAGTAATGCTAGAGTTCTCATGATCGATAGAAAACACACATGGCACCTTTCAATGCAAAAATACACTAAAATCAGTCATGTAGCGAGCATGAATTTGGTCTACTTTCTCCGAAGTAAGTATGCATAACAGCATACCACTTGCACCTAAATATTGTAAGGCCATACTAATCAACAATCCACAACTGTCAGTTTTCAAAGCCAACGATTGTACTCCATTTAGTTATAGAAGTAAATAGCAAAAGCTTCGCCCCCTAAAATTGCTTCGTTAACATTAACCAAGTTCTTTGCCTAACTCCATAAATGCAGGAATAAATAAACATACAGTCAAAACACCCAGAAGAAAGAGTATACTATTTTTCTCCATGTTCTTCCCCATTTTTCCATTAGCACAACTCATAGCACCAAAAATTCACCTAGCAGAGTAAAAACTAATAAGAATTTCAACTGATTAAAAAACCCTAAAACATAAAAACCCTACTAATAACTAAACCAATAAAAAACCCAACTCATTTTTCTAAAAACTAAACAAAACTAACAAATACCCAGATACCAAAGCAGTACATTTCGGCATAAATCAAGAACAAGAAGAAGAAGAAAAAAACAGTGACATCCTTACATTACTTCCTTTCCAAACCTCGTACACGCGCTTTTCCATGAGAGAAATTCCAAGTCCTCTTCCCCTTCCTGTAGCTTTATTGAACTACTCTGGAACTCAGTTGAAGATGTTAAACTTGTGCTGGAGCTTTCACTTCATTTACAATAAGAATTTCAACAGAAAAAAAATAGAAACAAAATCGCAGCACCTCTCTTGACGAAAACTCCCCAGAGCACACTGAAAATCGTACTCAATCGGGTTATGATTGAATCGTGAAACGCCCGAGTTGAAAACTTTTTTTATTTCTAGGGTAAACTATTTGAATGGCCATCTAACTATAGAATTTGTGTCGATATGACTACCATTTTTTTAATTTTCTCAATATGACCACTTAACTATTTAAGTGGTTTCAATCAAGCCATCTATCGTTAACATTTAACGAAGTATTTACGTAGCAGTTAACAAAATTTATATAATTTTATATTTAATCCCCAATGCTTATACATTCAATCAATTTAGTTACAATTTTAATTTAATTTAATAAATTAACTCTTCAATTTAATTTAATTTAATAAATTAATCCTTCAATCAGGAGGTGACACGTATAAACATAATTAATTAACCTTATGGTTAAGTGGTCATTCAAGTAGTTTACCCCTTAGTTTTATGGGTAAACTACACATATAGTACCTAAACTACTATTACTTTTATTCTGTTTCGATATCCAAACTTTATTTTTTTCCAGAATCATATCTAAAGTTTAGTTTAGGTTTTAATTTGATATCACTAGATTAAAAAATTAACAGATATATTGATGTGACATTTTTATTTTTCTCAATAATTATATGTCATTATCTTATGGTATATGTCAAATTCACCTTAAAGTTTTTAACTCCGGGATACCGAAATGAAACATAAATTAAGCGTTTTGTATGATTATAAAAAAAAGAAAGTTTAGGTACCAAAATAAAATAAAATTGATAGTTTAGATACTATATGTGTAGTTTACCCTAGTTTTATTTTAGACATTTAAATAAATAAAAAGACTAATATATCTAATCAGAAAAAAATCAGCATATAAATTATATAATTCTAAAAAAATAATATGTTATTTTTTATATAAATTTGAGGTGAACATAGTATATGCTTAAATACTTTCAAATTTTTTATAATGAACATTCATTATTCTATGTATAAAATTATTATTAGTAGTATTATATTTTAGTTTGGAAAATAAAATAAGTTCATTATTCTAATTTTTTATATTAAAAATGAATTTTCTTGGAGGGTTTGGAGTTACGAAATTACTAGTTTGCCCACTGCGGTTACCGTTCGATCCCTTGTTATGACTTATTTCCACATCAGCATCAACTTTGTGGTGGCCAAAGATGAGGTGGCGTGACAGTATTGGTCCTGAGAAGACGAGCATACCTGGAATTTTCTTTTTATTTGTATGTTTAAGGGATTGAGAATGAATAATTCAGGTTCAAAAACAAACATGTCGAGTGAAATCCTAAGCATTTTAGAATTAAATTATAAATTTTGAAAAAAAATAATATATGAAATATGACATAAAAATTACGTATTACCACTTATGTTATTAATTTGCTATATTTTTATTTTTAAATAATTAATTTTGTTAATATTTTTTGTCTTTTGAAAAAAAAACTAAGTTTTGATAATTTAGAATAGTCATTTTAATATATAAATTTTCAATAGAATAAGTTAAATTTATTATGTCATGGTAAAAATTATTATTTTAAAAATAATTTCATTTTTATTAGTGTAATCGTAAAATAAAAATTATTACTCAAAATTAACATAAAACTTCGACGTCCGTACACCAAACCGAAAAAGATTAAACCTAAATGGTATTTCTCACTTCAGAAGAAAAGATGACGAAATAGATAGAAATAATAATAAGAAGAAGCTGTTGAGTGTTCAATGTATCAAATAATGAAAAATTATCTTCTATTTATAATAAAAATTATCAAATAATGAAATAAATTAAAATAATTAAATTTTACCAACAATCTCTAAAACATTAAAAGTTCTCGGTTGACACTTGTCATCTTATTTTACGTTACAGGTTTAATACCCATAAAAAGAAATTATATCCGATCAATATGAGATACACTTCTTTTCGTTACTAGTTGTTGCAGTTTCGATCCAAAAAGATGGTGAAATTACTTTAAACCCCTTAGATACTTGAGAACTTTTAAATTGAAACAATGGGAAAACTACTTCCTAACCCCCCAGAAAAAATCATAATTCCACGATGCCCCAAATTTTTTCTGTCCGGCTTTGCCACTGTTGTCAGCATGTGGTTCATTGTACATAGATTTATACATTCCCTTACCCGAAGCAACGACAATGATCGTAAATCATGAGATTCAAATTTTATACTTGTTGAATATATTTTTTTACGAATGATTAGATAAGTTAGTTGAGTTAAACGCAGTTTAAGAAATAAAATTTAACCATTTTTTCAGCAAGAACATATTACAAAACAACCCTAAGGACCAAACTTGCAATAATTCCCATGAAATACTATAATCCACTTCCAATTTCATTGGGTTTTTCTTCCCCCCTTGTCTAGTTTCCAAACAAACTGTGTACAAATATAAGGACTAAAATGTAAAATAAACATCTTTGCTTTCTTTTTATGCAAACTCACATACCATAACGCGTGTCGCTAAACTTGCTCTTGATCCACTTGAAGCTGTTCCTAACACTCGACTTCAACTTACCTTCCATCGCAAACACGTTGTACGACGCGATTCTCTTCTTCCTCTTGAGCTCCGGATTGTTCGACGCCGCAAACCCGTTACTCTTGCTGCATGGCCCGTTGAAATTGTACGAATTCTGTCGGTTCTCGAAGTCAAACTCGCCAGAGAAAGACGAAGAATATTGAGGGAAGGACTTGCTCTTCTCCATAACTACTTGAAAGAAACCAAAACCTCTAAACCTAGCTTGCTATAATAAGTAGCATTGAGCTCCGGATTGTTCGACGCCGCAACCCGTTACTCTTGCTGCATGGCCCGTTGAAATTGTACGAATTCTGTCGGTTCTCGAAGTCAAACTCGCCAGAGAAAGACGAAGAATATTGAGGGAAGGACTTGCTCTTCTCCATAACTACTTGAAAGAAACCAAAACCTCTAAACCTAGCTTGCTATAATAAGTAGCAAAGCTCATTGTTGGTCCATTCATTGCATTTATATCAAGGGGGGAAACATGATAGGTCGGTGTGTTGAGTAGGTGTTGGAGGTTTGGTCGTATCTCCTGGTTTAGATTTTTTTTTTATTTTCTTTTGATGACATAATTTTGTATTCTTGTAATTTTAAAATTTCGTAAATCTAAATTTTTAATATAATATCCTAAATTCGTATTCTTAACATAAAATTCTATACGAGGAGTGCATGATGATGAGGCAAACCATGTGTGATGTTGAGAGGATGCTTGGAAAATCATGGTGTTGGGGGAGGAATAATGACGGCCATTGGTTTGATGGGACTCTAGTTGTATTCAAACATGGCACGGCACCTATGGGTTCACATGGTGCATATAGTCCATTTAACCCACCATTTGGGGGACCTTTGTTGAGTGCTTAAAACGAGATTAATGAAATTAAAAAAAAAATTAAATTAATTTATAGTGCTTTGAATCTATTGGCCTACAAAGCTTGTATACATTGTCATTGGTTAATTTTTTTTAAATAAATAATATCTTATAGTTACTCTAAACTATTAAAAAAATATTATAATGCTTTGATGAGTCATCTCTGCAATCAACTTAATTTTGGGTACACCCTTTAGCTTTTGTATTATTTTAATTCTTCTATTATTTTCTAGTTAGTTTGATCTAGGGATGGATCAAAGAGATGTTGAGACACCTTCTAAAATTTAAAAATTTCGTATAATTTAAGTATTTTTGTATATATTTTATATTAAAAAACTAATTATATATTCTAAATTTTATTAACTTCTCATTTTTAAATTTTAAATATAATTTCCTAACTTTGCATTCTCTTACATATGACTTCAACTTTCAATTATATTATCACTTGGGCTTTGAACGGTTTTCGTAGGGGAAAAAACGATGACACGACACAATCAAAATTTTCTAAGCGTAAAGAAAACATTGAAAATTTAAAAAAGAATAAAAAAATCATTGAAAATACATAAAGTTTTAAAATATTTCTTTAAAAATGTAAAATTTATTAAAAATAACTAAAAAGTAATTTAATATGTCCTTTTCACTATTAGAGATGGAATGGCGTGGAGAATTATACTCATAGCACCAACTTTGCCTTTATAAAAGAGATTGGAGTCACCTTCCACTTTATACCAATATATGGTTGGCTTAGTGCTAAGTGGACCTTTTGTGTTTCATTTACATTATCTTGACTTAGCCGATATATGGTTTTTTATATTTTAATGCTTAAATTTATATTGTGTGTTTTTTTTTGTCCTTAAAGTTTTATTTTATTATAAATTAATTTAAACACGATGCAATAACAAAATCTTTACATTAAGGTTAATTATTTCATCTTCTAATGTCGTATCATCAAAATTTTCATAAAAAAAAGACTAAACAATCATTTTATCCGTATCAAATATTGGCATCAGTTTTTTTCTTTTAAAATTATTTTTAATAACTTTTATGATATAGTAAAAGATAAAATAATTGATATTATAGCTTAATTGTCTGTTATTGTTTTATCGCGTTTGGATCAATTTGAAAAGGAATTAAATTTGAGGACCAAAAAATGATTCTACCTTTAAAATTTTCAATATTACAAAGGCTTTCTCGCCCATGTATGGCGTTGGAAAAGAATTTTTCCCCATATAGGGATCTAACCAAATTATTTATTGAACTGGGGTATTTGTTACAGTGATTCCATTGGTCGCCAAGTGTTCCATAAGTCGTCAAGTGTTCCTTGCGACAAAGTCTCATCTGTTGCAGCAACTCTTCTCTCTTCCCTCGTTGTTGTAGCTCCATAAGTCGCCAAGTGCTCTATAAGTCGCCTTATGCTCCTGGATACCTATAGAAGTCACCGTGTGCTCTAGAGACCTATAATAATCACTGTAATATATAATCATCATACATAATCAAATAATTATTCGACTGTACTATGTAATTTTTTTGATTACATTATTCAATCACTTTTTCCTATTGCAAAACATGTGTTATACTACTTTATTTATAAGGTCCGAATCGCTTTTTTGCCGACAACTTCCCGAAACTAGCCAACTTTTACAGACGTGCAGAGCACAGCAATTCCCTTCCAATGATGCAAAAGGAACATCAAGGTTAAATTATTACGTGAAGGGCTTTTATTACAATGATTTGCTAAGACGAGAAATAATTAACTACAGGTAAATTTCCTTAATTGTCTACTTTTTATTGTTCGAATAATTTGTATGATTATAAGATAATATTTATTTAATTTTTTAATTGATTAATAACATACTCTATAAATATAATTGTTTGAATTCAGAATCTCTAAAAAATAATATTATATTTTATAATTGAATTGACTTCAATATTTATTTATTTTTAATTAGATATTTAATTTTGATTTAAAAGTTTAATTTAATACTTACAGTTCTTTTTTTCCTAATTAAGTAACTGCTCGTTTTGTTCTTTTTTATAAAATGGTAGATGATTTATTAATTTGATCAATTTAAACCACGAAACAAATTTAGATACTAATTTGAAGTCGAACATAATTTAATTAGAAATAAATTTATACTTTTTATTTGTTTATAAAGAACAATTATTATTTTTCAACAATTTCGAGAGTAAATAGTAAAAGCTCTCAGTTGACACGTCATATTTTTTTAGGTTGTGGATTTAATACTCAGTATGAGTAATTTTTTCAGTAAATCTTAGGTGGGTAAATGAGTATTTTGTAAACCATAGGGTAAGTAATTTTTTCATCAAGTTTTGGGGGGGATTTGTACATTTTCCCCATTTTATAATATTTTTTAACATTTCCAAGACAAGTAGATGAAGGAATATCTTAGTAGCAGCATAAATGTATGTCTCTTAAGCAACATACTTTAGGCTTTATACTATGCTGAAATTTGTTGCAAAAAACTAGTAAAGCATCAACCCGGTGGCCAACAAAACCCTAATAAAGCCATATAATGAAATCTAATATTTTCCACTCTTATTTGTTTTTTAATTTTATTTTTAATATAATCATCGATATTTGATTTATTAATCAATTCATATTACATATTGTAGAAGTTCATTATAAAAGTGACATTTGTAATTAGGGATGAATTTAGGGGACGGTTGGAGGTAGTCGTCCCCTGAAAAATTTAAATTGTTATTTATAGATATTATCTATTAATAATATATTTTCGTCTCCTTAAAATTTTATAAGTTCATTTCCCTCTAAAATTTTAGCAGTTTGTCCCCCTAATATAAAATCATGCGTCTATCCATGTTTATAGCCTAATTTTCTCCATTTATAACATCAGGATTTAAAACACTAACTTGTTTAAATGATCTAAACCCGATCTCGATAAACCAATTTATATTTTTTTTGAATAATCTGGGGTGATTACAAAGTAGTATATATTCAGAATCTTTCTTAGGCATTGACAACGCACTCACACCCGCAGACGTAGCTACTTGAACCTAAGACTTCTAAGGAGAACAACACTCTCTTTAATCATTAAGACCACTTGATGTGTTCACCAATTTATAATTAATTCCTTTTGATTTTTTTTTATAAAAGAAGCTGAAATATTCCATGTAGAAAGTAACCCAAAATCAAATCTTCTTATGATTTTGGATATGAAAAAGTTGAAAGGCACACCAATACCAATATGACTAGTGGCATGGCCTTGGCCCCAACTTGAATGACAAAAAGGCAATACTCTTATCTTATATGATGCTAATCATGACATGAATGGCATCATTTTGCTGCTACTTTAGATTGCCTTCGCATGCTTTTGGTATATATGTAGAATATACTATTGATATCGTTTTTAAAATATTTGTGGGGAAGATTTTTGAGCTCACTAATCAAATTAAATAATTATCATTTGTTGTATTTACTTTTAAATTATTTTTCGAAAAGTTATGTGTTATCTTCTTAATCTGAGATAAGTATAAAGTAGTATATGTTCAAAGATAACTTTTAACCATTTGACATTGGTCGCTCATACTTCTAACATTACTGATGCTCGAAATCGGGACCTTAAGAAATAAAAATAATTCATTTACCACCGATGCCACGAGGATTCCTTCACCCTGACATGTATTGTCAAATACAATATAAACGATTTAAATGATGAAATCATAAAAATTAAAATTAAATTCACTTATTTTTTTAAAAAAATAATGTTGCATTGTTTGATTTATTACTGACATGTGAAATTACACATTATCAATTTGACAGAGATAATATTTTTAGTATATATATATATATATATATTTCAATGGAGTTGGACTGTAAATTAAAAAATAGTTCTTATGTAAGTTTTTAAACAATAAAAGTTAGATATTTAAAAAAATATCTTATTTAATTATTTTTATTAGTAGATGAAATAAATTGATCCTTTTAATAAGAGAGACGAATTTAAACCAATATGTATAATAAATGGATTAAATTGATCTATCTAGGTTAAAGTACACAAATAGTCCTTTGACTATAAGACATTACTTTATTGAATCATCCGAATATTAAAAGTTATGAAATGATCCCTTAGCTATAGGGAATTGCTTTGTTGACTCTCCCGACTATTAAAAGTTACAAAATAGTCACATGACTATTCATATGTTTGAAACTCGTCATTCTTTATTAAAAAATTGATGACAGTCTGAGCTGAACATTAACTTGTTGATTGTGATATGATAAAATCTAATCCCAAAACCTCAAACGACTATCATATCTCAGTCAACAGATTAACGTTCATCTCAAACTATCATCATTTTTTTAACAAAAAAAGACGAGTTTAGAACATATGAATAGTCTAATGACCATTTTATAACTTTTAAAATTTAAAAAAAATCACACGTAATAGTCAAATTTTAACATGGTCCAGCTTTATCTAGTTCCATGGAGGAGAGAAAACAAATAATTTAAATATATAGAAATCTCTATATCTCAATAACTATATCTCACAAATAGGGTCGGTCTTGACTATCTTTTGACCGGGGCGAAATTAAAAAAATATACCCTTAATTCAGAAAAATTAAAAAATATATAATATAAAATTTTTATTAGAGTTTTTTTTTTGAAAGTGTAACTATTTATTAAAATTAATATAAAAATTCAATAATTACAA